ACTGACTCCCGAACCCGGAACATTGGTTGCGACGACCTTGTTCTTATCCTTTCATTTCAAAAGGTTTTCTCGATACTTTCCTTTTCCGTCTCCTCGGGATAAATAAAGTTTGGTGGCGACTCTGTCAAACCGCATTTCCATGCCTTTAGCGCAAGGGTCGTATGTTCGAATGAATTTTCGAGGTGTGCTAATAATAAACTCATATTTATATGTCACAACGGTTGTTAAGCACAACCGTTGTTAAATATGTTGCATTAAAGGATATAACACAGTTTTTTAAAGTAACAGGTGTAGTAGGTAGCACGCTACATAGATACAACCACGGTCGCATGTCTGTGATAGAATGAATCATACATACAATCACACCTTACCTCACAACGGTTGGGCCGACGTGGTGGTATCCATTTTCCAACTGTTGTGATAGGTGTTTTTCGTAGTAGTGAATACTTCTTTAGAAGTGGTTTTAATTATTATATCAATTTCACAACAGTACTATTATATTCTCTGCAAGCCCTAATAGGTTGTTTGACGGTATTGTCAATGAATTATAGTAATGACCTTGTTTCTTTATCTCTACATCCATATGCTTTCCGACTTCTTAAATAAACATTAGGTTAATGTTTGCTCCAATATCTACAAGAGCTTCTCAAATATCCATGCCTCAAGCTAATACAATATGACTCTCCTTTGATTTATTGTCTCATCTTGTAGAGTTTCATGGGTCACTATACTGCAAATGGCTTAATTCTTGATAGGTCTTACTTCAATATATGTATATTTGTGCATGAATGAATCCAAGAAGCTTTATTTTTCAGCCCAATTTTCATCAATCTTATTATCTGAGTCGCCAACCTGTTCATTTTGTCCTGCAATAAAAGTATAATAAAAAATAGATGAATTTAACATAGAAGGATGTTTACTTATCCTACCATCCTTTTTTATTTGATTAAAATGTTCTTTCGAATTTGGTTCGATGTTAGTGATGAATGCACTTCATGGTTTGTCATTTATATGCTTGACAATTTTATTCATTTTCAGTTCCAAGTTTCTAATGGAGGCTTCATCTTGTTTTTGATTGGTCATAGACATTTGGATAAATGGGATTAGAGTATCTTCTAGCTTCTTTTTAGTTTGTGGTTGGCTCTAATAACTCTGAAATTTATGTCTATTATATGGTCTAATATATTGTCTTCATCCTTGACCGTAGTTATTTCCTTTTTGGAATCTATTCCCTCCTTGGAAGTTTTGTTGCCTCCTTGGCAAAGATTCTGCATTCAGTTGTTCATATAACTAATTTCCTCATCACCATGAGGACAATACTCAATTGGGTGGTCACATGCACATGATTTTTCTACAAGCATAAAAAGTAGTTTTATCATTATTGTATCTATAGAGACTGTTAGTGTTCAAAGACTGTTCAATAGTTTTTATGATTCTAATTAGAAAAGAGTTTTATATTTATTTTGATAAATGAAAATAAATGACAAAAAAATAAATGATGGAAAGTAAAATGGATATTTCGGTGTTAATGGTAAGAAAGCTTGCTAGAGGTGAATTTCATCATTACATATTTATTATGCGTTACCATAGGCTGGTAATATGGTGCTCTACTCAGGTATTAATGTTACCACCTATTTCTCTCTTTTGTATTTGAAATTATTACTATTTTAAGTATGAAAAAAGTGTTTTGATTTTTTGAAAAGGTTCTATATTCATAAAAAGAGAAAAAAAGTATAATGGTAGAGTTATTAGTGATAGAGCCTGTTTGGGTTTGTTGTTCCAATTATTATGATTTAATGCATACCAAATGACCAATTATGTTCATTTTAACCTTTAATATATATATATATATATATATATATATATATATATATATATATATATATATATATATATATATATATATATATATATATATATATATATATATATATATATATATATATATATATATATATATATATATATATATATATATATATATATATATATATATATAATTACATTTTTCTCAACAATGTTATCCATGTGTTAAGTAACATGTGATATAATTTGTATTCTTTATTGACAATCTAATATTCTAGTAACAATATGAAAGCATTATGCATCGAGAACATACCACCTTTTGACATCATCTAGTTCCACATATCATGTTAAAAACGACCATTTTCTTTAAGGCATAATTGCAAGTAACCATTGGTCTAGATATATGAGACTCTATCGACGCCGCATAATATGAATATAACAAGCATTAAGAATAAGATGAAAGATCCAATATGTTTGATAGATTAATCTTGACATAACTCATGTTCACATCAAATACATAAAATGCATAATAATGTAGAAACTTAATCCCAACAAGAGAAAACTTAGCTACATGTGATGATAGCTACTAAATAGAAGGTATAGAAACATAATCTCCCTTGGACAATCTGATAATTCTTTGTTGGTCCACAGACCTTCGATATTACTCTCTCTCTCTCTCTCTCTCTCTCTCTCTCTCTCTCTCTCTCTCTCTCTAAACTATAAACTATAAACTATGAAAAAAACTAGCCTAGTTCCATATTTATATTTCAAAATTTGTTTTCATTTGTTGGGAGAACTATAATTCATATAGTGAATCTTCCTTTAGGATGCTTCACGCCAAAGTCTTCTTCAACCGCCTTTGTGAGCCACCTTAAATTTTTTCTAGCGAGCTGAAGATTCACTCATCAAATTTCCCCAATTTTTTTTAGTTTTTCATTATATTGTAGATTCATTGGTCGAGCTCATATTCGTTTATTGAATCTCACTTATTATCCAGCCATGCCTTATGTCTCAATTTCTCCGATCAAGCCCAAATTCATCTGAATTTGGCCTAGCTTTGGTTTTTATATCTTGGGGGTCAAATACTCTGTCTGCATCAGTTGTTGATCCTTTTTGCTTTTCTTTACCATCTTTCAACCTAAATCAATAAAAAAAGATATAAACATGATCAATGTGTATCTATCGAGACAAATTTTAATTAAGCATAAGTTAAAAGATTTTAATATTACTTTATGTCTAAATAAGCTAGTAAGTGTGTGAAAATGATAGTGACAAATGGGTAAATTACACAATCATCACACTGACATATCTTTTTTTTATTTAGCAAGTGAGTCAATTCATGCATTCTTATTGCCATCTTCATCTAACTTTAGTTCGATGTATAATTCTCTATTTTAAATGAACCTCACATTGTTGTTAATTCTTTCTTTCTAGAATAGTCCATCGATCAAGTGTTTATAGTTATGTTGATTGGGCAATGTGTCTTGACACTCGACGATCTATCACAAGTTGATGCATATTTATTAATTCTTCATTGATCTCATAAAAAAGTAAAAAAGCAAGCTAGAGTTTAAATTCTCATGTTAATCTGAGTTAATTAGACCACAAAATCATATATATTTTTCATTCCTAAAATAGATTACAAAATCAAATAAAGAATTTGTTTAATCAATTGTTGTAAATGCCTATGTTATTATATAAATATGGAAACAATGCATTGAAGAAAGGCGACAACATAAAAATTGTGACACTGTGACACTTTGGTTCCATGTTAATGTTGGGTGCAAGTGTGAGTGATTAAAGTCTCACATTGTCTATAGATGAGTAGAATATTGGATTCATATGAGAGATGACTCATTTACCTAATACCTTAAAGTTTTTAATGGAGATGTGGTGACTCCCTCTCTAGTGGTCCTGGAGCGTTTGGCGCCCGTTGGTGCTCCTAACTCTCCCGTACTCCTCAAAAGTGGTATCAAAGGCTGATTCGAGTAAGAGACTGATTCTTTGTATCGAAATTTTTTTTGGCTTAGTGATTAGACGGCGTGTCTCGTTGAAGTGTCGTGATAAGATAAAGATGTATGTCAATAGCAATACAAACATGTGGATAAAAAAGATTCTGTTTGAAGGAAGTATAATGGATTAACTCACATTTGAATGCGAGATTGTTAAAATAAATAAATATGAGTGGTTAGTCTCACATTTCTTAAAAAAGTAAAGTTAAACACTTTATATTCAAGAAGACACATACACTTATCATTTTAAAATTTTAGATAAATATATGGTGTCTCTCATTTATTTGAATGAATTCTTAACTTTTAAATAAGTATTTGACTTAATATAAATATTTCACGTCATAATGACCCAACAATTAAATAAACTCGAATTTGATTCCAAAAATGAGCTCAAAGAACAAGTTATTGAAACATATTTATAAATCCACCGGTCTGTAAACAAAAGTAACGTGGTCCTCCATCATCACAAATCCAACTCCTACATATTTATCTTTGACCTATATAACCATGAGACCATTAAGTAATGTCGATCTTTTCTTAAAATTTTGCCATTAACAAAATCACACACTCACATGTCGGCAAATGAGTAAAACCAAATACACTTCTACAAAGTATATCTATTACTCATTTTCTCATCATTCTTACACATAACAACAACTTTTAATGTCGGTTAATAGACTAACTTGATTTTATCTTTCTTTATATAACCAAAAACTGATAGTCTTCACGGTCCAAAACACCTCATATTACACCAAATACTACAAACTTTGCAACTTTACACTTTATCACCAAACACTTCACACGTTGGATTTAAGAACAAACAGTATAGAAGAAGAAAGACCAGACAAAGATTTCATGAAAAGCATTGCAATTTACGTTTTCTCCATCTGGCATAACAGTAATTGGCAGCTAAATCTGTCACATGGAGCATAACTTAAACTTGTTACTTCAAGTGTGTATGCATTTTCACCAGTGCTATGTTCCCACTCACTCTACTTTTTATCCTTCTTGCCTTGAAGTAACTCCTAAGACACACTCAATGAATTACCAAAAGTGGATATAAACTACAAAACAATTCGTGTTCTTTTCGCAAAGACAACAAACAAAGTGTTACCATATTCTCTTATATATATAGACACTTAGTTTTTTCAAAGAAAACTAACAAAGAAAGCTTTCTCAGAGATGGATAAGCTTTCATTTGAAGGTGTTCATTATGGTATTGTGAGTCAAATGAGTTTCATTTGGCAACAAACTAGGGTACCCCTTGTTGTTCCAATGCTGAAAATTTTAGTCTTTTTGTGTTTGACTATGTCTGTTATGCTTTTTGTGGAGAGAGTTTATATGGGTATAGTCATTGTATTTCTTAAGCTGTTTGGTCATAAACCTGAGAAACATTACAAATGGGAGCCACTTATGGATCATGATATTGAGCTTGGAAACTCTTGTTTTCCTATGGTTTTGGTTCAAATCCCAATGTATAATGAAAAAGAGGTATATATACATCCCTCTAGATAAGTATAAAAAAAATGCAGGTCATTTTGACAGATAATAAATTTCTCTGTAGCACCGACACCTTTGAAAAAATGTGTCTTTAAAAAAAGGTGTGTCTGACACCGACATTTGTAATTACCTTTCATTTATTTATTTTTCAAATTATTATTGATGTTGACGTGTCAGTATCGGTGTCGTGCTTCATAAATAAATTTTCCTACGGTTTTTGTGAGGTTACTGTTCCATTGGTTGCAGGTGTATCAGTTATCAATTGGAGCTGCATGTGGGTTATCATGGCCATCTGATAGAATTATTATTCAAGTTCTTGATGATTCAACAGACCCAATCATTAAGGTTTTGAAATCATTACAATGCTAGCTGGTGATTAAAAAATATGTTACTAACTAATTAACATTTCTTTTGTTTGTGTTTATGAAAATGCGACAGAATATGGTGGAGGTGGAATGTGAGAGATGGAGAAGGAAAGGGTTAAACATAAAGTATGAGATAAGAGAAAACAGAAATGGTTACAAAGCTGGTGCTCTCAAAGAAGGAATGAAGCATAGTTATGTCAAACTTTGTGACTATGTTGCCATCTTTGATGCTGATTTTCAACCCGAGTCGAACTTTCTTTGGCGTACCATTCCGTTCCTCGATCAAAATCCGCAAGTTGGACTAGTTCAAGCTCGATGGAAATTCGGTAATTTGAATGACCGCTTCTAAAATTTATTTAATTATTATGTTCTGACAGTGTAAAAATATTTTCAACGTGCATGTAATCAAATTGCGTTTGCAGTTAATGCTGATGAATGTTTGATGACAAGAATGCAAGAGATGTCATTGGACTATCATTTCCTTGTGGAGCAAGAAGTTGGATCGCTAACTCATGCTTTCTTTGGTTTCAATGGTAATACAACTTGGAAGATCTAATAAACTACATTAGTAGTAGATGATGATGATGATGATGATGTGCATGCAGGTACAGCTGGTGTATGGAGAATTTCAGCACTAAATGAAGCTGGTGGATGGAAGGATCGCACGACGGTCGAAGATATGGACTTAGCAGTAAGAGCTAGTCTCAAAGGATGGAAATTTGTGTACCTTAGTGACCTCAAGGTATCTTCCATTATAATCCATAATCCATAGCTTTTAACATTTTCTTTGAGGGTATGCAAGACGGACTACTGCACAAAGTCCAAAAATTTTCACGATTACACCTGGACTAAATAGGACCTTATAAATGTTTGTCACGTTTAAAACGTGGTTAAATACAACCTATATTTGTTTTGTCATGGTTAAACTGCGACTTACTTGAACCTGTAACTATTGTTTGAACAAATGCAGGTGAAAAGTGAATTGCCGAGTACCTTCAAAGCCTACCGTTATCAGCAACATAGATGGTCATGTGGTCCAGCCAATCTTTTCAGGAAAATGGCAATGGAAATCATAAGAAACAAGGCATGCAATTTTCTCTATATTTCTTCTAACCGATAAAATCATTATTACTATTCTAATTCAATTTTTACCATTTGATGCAGAAAGTCACCATGTTGAAGAAGTTTTATGTGATATATAGTTTTTTCTTTGTCAGAAAGATCATAGCTCATGTAGTCACATTTACATTCTACTGTGTCATTTTGCCTGCAACTGTTTTAGTTCCAGAAGTAGAAGTTCCCAAATGGGGTGCTGTCTATATACCTTCCATCATCACACTTCTTAATGCTGTTGGAACACCAAGGTAATTAATTAGTTAAGCATTTTACTAATGTTGAGAAAATTTTGCTTAACTTGCTAAACAATTTTCATGTAACTCTTTTTGTAGGTCATTCCACTTGATAATATTGTGGATACTTTTTGAAAATGTTATGTCAATGCATAGAACAAAAGCAACACTTATAGGTTTGTTTGAGACAGGTAGAGTAAATGAATGGGTTGTTACCGAGAAATTAGGCGATGCTCTTAAGACAAAATCGGGTGGTAAAGCGGCTAGAAAGTCTCAAATCAGGTTCAACGGAAGGTAAAGTTTTCTACTCTTAAAACGAGAATAGTTTGTATCTGGGTTAGAGTACTCCTTATACTTACGAGTTAAGCTAACGTGTTGTTATTTTTCTAGACTTCATTTTCTAGAGCTTGGTGTGGGAGCTTACCTATTTTTGTGTGGATGCTATGATCTTGCTTTTGGGAAGAATCACTTTTTCATATATCTTTTTATGCAATCTATTGCCTTCTTTGTTGTGGGGGTTGGCTATGTTGGTATCTATGTTCCTAGTTCTTAAAGAAACTCACTATATTGAGTTTGGTTCTTGCTGATAAAAGAAGAAAGGTATCAAAGTCTGTGATTTGGCCTCGCAATCAAGTATACAAAGGAACAAAATGTAGTAATAGTAGTAGTTGCTTCTTCTGCTTCAGCTACCTTGTTTTAGTATCATAAATTATTTTACAATGATTATTTGTAATATTTTGTCAAAGAAATATAAAAGGAACAAAAGTAGTTTGTTTGTTTGTTGCTTGACATAGCTCAGAAAGAAACATTACTAATCAAATTGGAAAATTGGAATAGGAGCAAGATGAAATAGTTTATGCTTTCTTGTTAAAATTTGACTTAATTTATTCTTACAAAATCGATTTTGTAAAAATGAGTTCAATCAAATTTTAATATGCTATAAGAGTCTATTCATCAGATATTGAATCACTTACACTTTAAAAATTTACACGCTAAATTTAAAGAGTGTTAAATGTGAGAGGTGTATTGAAAAGATTTCAAATTCCACATCAGTTGCGAAGGGAAATATGCGATACAAAACGAAGCGGAAAATAAAAATTTATCTTTAGTGATTCTTGCGAATGGTCATGATCAGTGATAGAACAATTACCTATTGTGGCGATGAAACATTTCATTTTGAATTGAAGGAGTGATCACGAGCGATGTATGATGAACAACACCTCTACTCAGTCCACACGAATAGATTCTTTCAATCTCAGTGCTATCTGTTACAATTGAAGACTTTGAGTGAGAGAGGGAAGGAAAAATACGGCTAGGGTTTCACAGTCTGAATTTTCATCAAGTGTGTATGCTTCTGCACAAGGGTTCTATTTATAAAACCACTTATGTGAGATGCAAGCTAAAAAGTCCACTTAAGTGATCGCGCACCATATCTTATGGTGTACTGTATATCCCTTAAACGCGTAGTACCTTAGCATATTCCGTATTCTACTTAAATGCACCGTACTTTACGATGTTATACATTTACTTAAGTGCATCGTACCTTACGGTGTTCCTTATTTACTTTACCACTTATCAATCTGTCCTTATATGTGTGACCCTGTAGGTTTTCACGACGTTGACAATTATATTAAATCACACATTTAACATAATAAACTGTGAGCGGTATCTAGCAACACATCACTACTACCCAAGTCACAAAAATGTCATGTGATCTGAAAAAACCTTTTGTAATAGTACTTGTGTGTATAATTACCGTTTTTCCCTTATGTCTATATTAAACACAAGGCATATACCGTGTCATCCTTGTCCAGTTCAACATTTGGCCCTTAGACATTTATCCTATTATGCAGAATGAGCAAATTTCATCTAGGTCACTCATGTTCCACAACATGCTTTGTGGAGTATATATCAACTGTCTTTATGGTCATCTAGTTACGGACAATGTTAGATCAACAATAAAGCACTCGACTCTACATATAGGGTCCGTAGTGGTTTCAAGTCGAAGGGTGGTATACATCACTATCACCATGAGTGTAACTTATGACACTTTGCATAACATTCTATGTAGTAATCTCATAGCGGGTCAATCCAGTATAAATATTACTCCTGTTGTGAATCAGATACCTTTAAGCAATTGGGCTTACAAGCTAACTTAAGCAATTGGACTTACAAGTAAGGCCCAATTCAACATGCTAACAACTCTAGCAATATTGATTAATTCATGTTAGAACAAACTTCGACTACAACACGCATTATCTTCGACAATAGTATGCGAACAGACTTCGAACTCATGCTTAATACCTGTCGAATCAAAAGCTACCCTTCGACAATACTAGAGTTTGATCAAACATCTCACAAATCTCCACCTTGGATCTAACTCTATAATATCAAGGAACTAGCTTTCTTCGTGCAACTTTATCAATTGCATACAGTGGAAAAAATTGCAATTGGGCAACGTCTTGGTGATCATATCAGCAGCATTATGATCTGTCAAAACCTTCAGCATTTGGACTTCTCGACGCTCGATTACCCCTATGACGAAATGCAGCCTCGTATCAATGTGCTTGGTTCGCTCATGATAGGTTGAATTCTTCGACAGGTGTATTGCACTTTGACTATCACATTTAACAGTGATAACTCTACCTTGAAGTTTTAGCTCCTTTGCAAAACCTTCAAGCCACAATGCTTCCTTCACAACTTCAGTTAGGGCAATATATTCTGCTTCAGTGGTTGATAAGACAACGATCTTCTAAACTGTTTCTTTCCAACTGATTATTGTCCCAAATATAATGAACACATATCTAAATATAGATTTTCTGGAATTCATACAACCTGTATAATCAGAGTCGACATATCCTTCGATTGCTGCTTTACTATCCTCACCCAAGACTCCACCATAAATTAGGACTCTATTCAGAGACTTATTTATGTACCTTAGAATCCACTTTGATGCTTGCCCGAGAGCCTTTCCAGGATTCGCCATGTACCTGCTTACAAGACTTACTGCATATGTTATGTCGGGTCTAGTACAGACCATAACATACATCAAAGAACCCACTATATTAGTATATGGAATGTTGTTCATATAAGTTCTTTCAACATCAATGTTGGGACACTGATCTATACTCAGCTTGAATTAAGGGTTTGTCGGAGTTACAACAGGCTTTGAATTCGGCATACCAAGATTTTCGAGAACCTTCCGTAGGTATGCCTCTTGAGATAAGCATAATTTCGACTGCTTTCTATCTCTTCGAATGTCAATCCTGTTCTGGACTGGGCCGACGTTTAACCCACAGTCAAGCAGGGCCCAAACCCCACAGGATTTGGGCCCAGTAGGACCTCACGGAGGGGCAGAAGATCCATCGGGCATACCATCTTCCCCTGTCGAACACAGGCCATCAGTCGCCGAGTAGGGCCTTCGTAGCTGTCCAGCTAGCCTCCTTCTCCCCCGCTGTCAAGAAGAGCCCAGCCTGCCCGGGGAGCTCATCAGACCTCCCCCACATTCTCTACGTATCCCCTACACGGAGATACGTCATCGAGTAACTACCCGTGTCCTGATGATTCGGTCCTCCACCTCCCAAATAGCACGAAACAGTTACACTAGGGTGAAGACCACGTGCTGGTCTTCGTGACGCCACGTCAGTCCTAGCAGTTACCAACATTGGGCTTGGTAGCCCAGCCCAATGTGTGGTAACCACTGGCCCTGCGCTGGGGGCTCATTATAAATACCCTCTTCCACGAGAGGGTCAGGTAACTCAACTTTCTCACTCTTTTTTATGTACTTGTTATCACTCTGCTCGTTGCTTACTTTGGCATCAGAGTGTGTTTCAGGTACACCCCCCCTCTGTCCATCAAGTCAATAGTTCGACAGCTCAGACGCGTGGCAGCCCATCGATCTCTCTGATTAGGTACGATCAATGGCGCCGTCTGTGGGAACCTAAGTTTCCCCATTCCTCCGAGCAAAAGAACCAAAGCTTCCTATTGTCAAATTCTGAGATCATGACTAGCCCACGTCACGACGACGATGTCCACGACTCCACCCTCGTCCTAATCACCAACGGCGATGACCAGGCGGGGACCTCCCACGCTCGTGAGGGCGATACTAGGGACGGCCAGACTGCCTCTCCCTCATCTGAGGACGCGACACATTACGTCGCCCCACGAGCAAGGAGCCCGACTGTCTTCCAGCCCGTCTCTATGCCGGTTGGAGCAGACCTGACGATGACTACTCTCTTCACAACCATCAACCAAACAAACATGATGATGTTCCAACAAAATGAGCGTATCGACGCACTGGAGCAGGATACTTCGTCCCGCTCTCCCCCGTGGAGAAATCAGTGCGGGAACTCTCAGAGCCCATCTCCACGTCCACGGGGGCGCCGACCACAGTTGGAAAGGCCCCAACCTGTAGCCTCCAAGAAACGCGCCAGGTCACCCCTCAGAAGGAGAGGCGCTCCCCAGAGCCAAGGTCGAACAGGCCTGAAGACCCGGCCAGAAGACCAAGGGGACGTAATTAGCCTCCTCGACACGACCCGTCGCCTCCGCACTCCCCTGTCCGTAGTGACGAAGATGATTATTAGACCTCCCTATCACAGGAGATCATGGCAACCCCCATCCCCCGTGGGATGAAGAAGTCCCCCGTACTCTCCACGTACAACGGTACCTCGGATCTGGACGATCATCTAGAGGACATCAAGGTCATGCTCGACTACAGGAACGTCCGGGGAGCCATCAAGTGCAGGCTCTTCCCGACGACGCTGAGGAAAGGGGCCATGGCCTAGTACAAAAGCCTGGAGCCCGAGTCGGTCACGTCTTAGAGGCTCCTGAAGGATCTTTTTCACAGCATTTCACGGCATCACGACAACATCTGAAGACGGAGGCCGCCCTGGGTGCAATTATCCAGGCCCCGGATGAACCTCTCAGAAACTACATTGAGAGGTTCATGAGGGAGGCGATCCAGGTAACGACTTCGGGCAACATGAAGTGCTACCTTATGGAGCATGGCCTACGTCGCAGCTCTAAATTCTACGAAGCCGTGGCAATCCAACGGCCGAGCACCTTGCAAGACTTCCTCAAGAAAGCTCTCCATTACATCTGATACGAGGAAACCGAGGCCGCCAACGCTGCCCAGGAATCCCGCAACCATGAGATCCCCCACAGGTCCCGAGAGGAGGGAAAACCAGCACCCCGGCATGGGGGAGACCGATGACAGGACGACCGCCCCCGAGAGCCCCAGGAGCAGAGGGGCCCCGCCGGCGGCTTCATCGAATATACAGCCCTAGTTGCTTCTCGCGAACGCATACTGGCCGAGTGTGCCAACTCGGGGTTCGTCTGGGGAGGGGTCCGCTTTCCAAACCGGCATCCCCCTAAAGCCAACATGGACAAGTCCAAATACTTCTACTTCCACCGGGGACACGGGCACGTTATGGAGGACTGCTTCCACCTCAAGGACGCGATTGAAATACTCATTAAGGATGGGCACTTGAAGAGGTACACCAGGGAAGGAGATGCCCCCCGACAGGAGGCCCCGGAAGCCAAGAGAGTCGACGA